CGCGCGGCACATCCTCGCGGCACATTTTTCGCCAAGTCGGCCTCGTTAAAAGGCTTTTTGCTTAAGTGGAAGCGATAAGGGAAACGAGGACGAGACCAACAGACCACGGCGGTGGAAGTTATACGGGAGCCATAATAATGGGTCATAATAACGATGGCACGTAATAGTCTCGAGAGAAACACGATGCTATGGAAAGTAATTAAGGTAACGTGATGTTAAGATCGAAGAGATTTAGAGTTCCTAAAATATTTCAATTTTAAAAATACATACTTGAAATTATCACCAACATAGATAGAATCGTTCTCTTTTTTTCTCAATATTCGCGTAATCCGGAAAAAAATTTCTGTTTGTGTATGGTAATCACTATTTAACAAGGTGTCTATTCAAATCTTGTGGAAAAATTTCCTGAGAATTCCAGGATCTTCCAGGTATTTTCGTTCAAACGTCCTGGTAAAATAAGAAAATTTGTAGACGCAGCTTTTTAAAATAAGTTATTTATATGCGCTTTCTAATATTTTCTATTCATAATTACAAGTTTTCAAGTGTGCAGTTTTTCTATTAGTATTTAATATAGATTTATTAATTGTAAAATTAATTTGGACAATAACAAAGTGCAATATATCACTATATCTAAACTTCAAAAACATATATACGTAAAAATATAAAATAAAAATATATAATAAGTAATTTATTATAAATATCTTAAAGAATATTATTTATTTAAATTAATTATTTATATTAAATTATTTTTCTCAAATTTTGGCCGAGTTAGAAAAATAAAAATCTTGATGGACATTTGCTACTAGCAGAAAGAGAGGATACTTATTAATATATACTCTTTAAAATTTTCCTAATGGTAAAAGGGGTTAAAACTAGCAACTTCTATTCAATTTTTTATTTCAACTTAATTTTCAATCCCCCTTAATTTTTGACAAAGAATTATTTCCTAAAATTTTTCACATTTATTTAGAATCACTGTTATATATAATTAAGCTTTATTAAATCATTATTAAATGTATTTATTAAATAAATAAAAATAAGGGAATACTAATTTATTTAATTTACTAATTTAATTAAAAAATTTTAATTAATTCATCGATTTAAAAAAATAAAATTTTAATAATATTAATATTAATAATACAATTTAAATATGACAAAGACATATTAGACATATATTTTTTAAATGCTAAATAATAATAAAATTATTAAAGACGCACTTTTAAAAATTCTCTTTGAATGCAAATTAAATTTCATAAGAATCCCCTAATTTTTCAAGATGGATCAATTTCCTAAGATTACAAAGTTTTTAAAATTTTTCCTACGAGTATACACCCTATTTAAATTCCCTCAACTTCACCACAAGTAAAAGTCAAGTAATCCGTAAATGTCACAAGCAAAAATATTATAATCTTCTTGAAATTATTAATTACCATTGAAAACAAAACACCTAGTCTTCCTTGATATGCGGCTTTGAATATTCGCGTAATTCAAAGAAGATTTGCCATTTCTCCGGCAAAAAGACGGGCAGAATCTGCATAAACATCGCACACATTCTTCACGTTAAGTTACGAAATAAACGGGGAAAACAGCTGATTAATTCAACATGCAATCTGCTGTCAAACGAGGAGAGACAAGAGGAAGGATAAATCGGAGACAGCTTAGCTTTAGGATGGATCAGAGATGATGGTACACGATAAGACCCGCGTTTGACGAGACTTGTCCGCGTTGTAGCATGACTCTGTTGTAACCCGTCGTGTACAACCGGCGGTTGTAACATCATCAATGCTGACAAAGCCGTTTTCCCCTTAACCGGTGTACACACAAGATCGTACACAAGATTGTAAACGCGGTAAATGTATTCGAATTTTAATTACATAACGCGACGACCTGTACGCGTACAAATAATACATCGCTATCGCGTAATACCGCATCTCGTCGATGTAATCAGACGCATTTCACCACGGTAATTACCGGATAATATTAGCATTAGACATGCGCGGACAATTAGCGACCGACATTTCGAGAATTGGAGTATTCCATTCCCGATGCTTGATTTTCAACGAGAGAACATACGATATTAATCGAATACATTTGTAATCCATGTTTGGTATCAATTATCAAGTTATTTTTATTCAAGATAGGTTTCGTTGAATTAATTTCGTTTAACTATATAGTTGATTGAGTTACTATATATTTTTGGCGAAAGAGTAAACTCTTGTTACAAATAAAGTAAAATAAAATAAATATACACGGTAGAAAAATTTGTGTTTTCTTGTTAAAAACGGTCCCTCTTGAAATTTTTGTGTTAAATATTTAATACATTCATGTGTTAATTTAACATATTACTGTTCTGTTAATTGAACTTAAATGTTAAATTATTAAAACAACTGAAAAAAAATGTAAAAATAACACAATGTGCATCGATTTTTAATTTTACACAATAAATATGTTTTGCTTTATTAGTGACAAGATTTATCTGTTATTTACAGAATATTAACACAAAAATTTCTGTGGACCGTTTGGGACATGTGATATCTGTTAAAAACAGAAATTTTTCAACTGTGTATGTCATATAAAAGTTAACGAAACAATGTATTAATCGAATACATTTATAATCAATATTTGTATCAATTTATCGATTACCAAGTTTTTTGCGCAAAATTAATTCAAGATAGATTTCGTTAAATTAGTGTCGTTAAATAAATTAGTTGATTGAATTACTTAATATTTTTTTACGAAAGAGTAGCGAACGTTATCGCAACAATAAATTGCATCGAATACGATAATTCACTTTATCATAAATGCATCGTCAAAAGACTGTTGAGGAAACCTTTGTTACATGTGTATGAAAATAAAATAAAATAAAATAAACTAAAATAAAATGAAATAAAATAAAATAAATATATATCATACAAAAGTTAACGAAACAATGTGTTTTAAATTACGCGAACGCTAAACGAGAAAAATCCATTACACCGTTAAATAAACGCGAAACTTTGTGCATGCGTGAGAGAGACGCTCATAACAGCAGAGTACAAAAGATATATTAAAACCATGGTACAATTTGGCAAAAAGATATAATGCGCATGCATATATACGTTGCATCAGAGGTATAACAAAATACGCTGAAAAGCGGAATAAAAAGGAGCAAAAAAATTCCCGGGCATAATTAACCGACAGGAGAAAAAAAAATATCAAAATGTACAGAAACAAATTTCCGCGAAATGAACGCGAAATGTAAAGGATTCCCTCTCTCTCTCGAGGCTCTCGTCGTCAATTCCCTCGCGAGATAATTGTACCAATCCGTCAAAGGGTTGGAAGGAGTCGGTTGAACGAGTGCGGGTTCACGCACAAGTGCGTTACTCGCGCTATTTTCACCGTCAGAGGATCGAAAGGGACGCCCATCATCGGCCAAGCACTCGAGCGAGCTGATGAGACAGCGAGAGAGAGAGAGAGAAGAAGGTCCGGTCGATAGGTCACAGCAAGGAAGGTGAAGTGTGTGCAAACATAATTTCGGTAGTGCTTCGAAAGGGAGGCTCTCTCTCTCTCTCTCGCATCGAAGGCGAATGGCCATCTCCGATTGGCCGGCGACTCGCGATCGATAATTGATTAAATCCTCGAATATTCCTGCCACCATCGAACGAGGGCTGGTCTCTCTTTTCATCCGCGTAAGGATACGGTCTCTGGCTCGGCTGAAAAGTTTCAAGACGGGCGAAGAAGAAGGATAATGCGCGCGGGAATGTATTCGCCGGGTGAAATATATCGAAAAAGAGAGAGAGATTAATGGACGGCTATGACTTCGCGAAAATTCATCCCTTTTCTCGCGATACACCGCTGATAAATTGAATACTCCTGGGATCGCCGATGAATCTTATTGTATAATCGCAATTATCGAGTTTTTGATAATGAAGCTATAGCGAGTTGGGTCTGTGTTGTAGATGTAGGGAGAGCGATATCTTTTCGTGTAAACGTCAATTAGAGATGGATGAAGATAAATCGAGTCTCTCCCCATTTTTTGGTTTATTAATTTTATTATTATTGTCGACTAATTCTAGAAGACTGCAATCCTTTTAAAACTATGTATATGGTTTTAAATATCGTATCAGGTATAGGAGCCTTTTCAATTTATTATTATACAGTGACCGGCAAAAATAAAAAGCTATTTCATATATATAAGACTGGTTTACTTCATAAAGGTAAACAAAAATACGGTACACGTTTTTTTATCATGGAAATTGAAAATTTATTAATTATTTAAGTGTTTTTGATTAAAAAGGAATCATTTGTTTTTAATACTATATTTATTTCTAAATAATCATATATTTAAGGTGACAAAAAGCTAGTTAAGTTATAGTATTTTAATCTTAAGAAACAACAATTTATTTTAATTAATATGTTGAATGTGATTTTCTTTAGCCTTAATAACGTTTAAAGTCTCCTTTGAAAAATTTAATTAAAAGTCCATATCAAGAAAAATTTCAAAAAGCTACTGAGGCTAAAGAAAATCATATAAACTATTAATAAAAATAACTTGTTGTTTCTTTAAATTAAGATAATATATTACCTTAACTAGCTCTTTTATTTTGTCATTTTTATAAATATACAATTATTTACAAATAAATCTAGTATTAAATAAAAAATAATTTATTTTTAATTAAAAACACTTAATTAATAAATTTTCAATTTCAGTTAAAAAACTTAAAACACATTTTTTTTCCCTTTATAAAGCAAATCAGTTACACGTCAGACACAAGTCTTACACAGATGAGGTATGCAGGTGTGATTGTTTTATTCTTTATTCCGGTCGCTGTACACAATTTTATAAAAAAACTACAAAGCCGATGATGTTTACCGTAATGAATTTTCTCACAATCTATACAAATAGATATTTCTCGCGTTAAACGAAGGGTAAAAATATATCCCGAATACGAGGGAAAAAAATCAATGAGAGTTCGCCCGGCGGCGAGGCCGTGCGACAAAAGTTTTTTTTTTCCACTCACCCTTGAGTTCCATGTCCGTGACCTGGTTCGTCCTGAAAGTGGCCGTCTCCCTGCGGTCGCCGACGACGAAGTAGATATTGGTGTACTCCTCGTTGTCGTTGCTGCCGGTTCCGTTCCTCGCCTCGTGGTCCATGGCCACGCGGATAATTTCGGCCTTGAACCGCCTGCCGCTCCTCGTCGCTCGGCCTTGCTGCAGCTTCCGAGACTACCCGGCCTTGCTACTACGCGGGGCTGCAAAGGTGAAAAACTTGGATGATGTACTTAGGAAAGCCGCCACTCGCGTTAATGGGATCCTAAACGCAGTTGAGTTTCAGTCCTGTTTTACCGACAAAATGTGCGGTTATGTCCAACCATCAATCTATTTATTGGCTATACCGATTATTTTTTTTACTTGAAATTAGAGCACTCACATTTGTTAATATTAAAACTTTAATTTGTACAGGAAAAAGATTTATCAATCTGCATAGTCTCATATATCTGGGTGCAGAATTATAAATTGATAAAGAATTCATAATTCTATACCTATAGATATATGAGACTATACAGATTGATAAATCTTTTTTTTGTACATATTAAAATATTAATATTAACAAATGTAAAAATGCTCTTGGGTGTGATATACTTAGGGGAGCCGCCACTCGCATTAAGGGAATCCTAAACGCAGTTGAGTTTCAGTCCTGTTTTACCGACAAAATGTGCGGTTATGTCCAACCATAAATCTATTTATTGGCTACACCGATTGTTTTTTTACTTGAAATTAGAGCACTCACATTTGTTAATATTAAAACTTTAATTTGTACAGAAAAAAGATTTATCAATCTGCATAGTCTCATATATCTGGGTGCAGAATTATAAATTGATAAAGAATTCATAATTCTATACCTAGATATATGAGACTATACAGATTGATAAATCTTTTGCCTGTGCAAATTAAAGTATTAATATTAAGAAATGTGGAAGTGCTCTAATTTCAGGTAAAAAACAATCCGTATAGCCAATAAATATGGATTTATAGTTGAATTTAACTTCACATTTTGTCGATAAAATAGAACTGATTAGGATCCCCTTAACAATGTCGAGCGAGTACTGCGGATCGAGCCGCGCAATATTTCGCAATATTACGCTCGCTAAATAAAAAGAAATGTCCTTCGGACACCTTTCGCCCCGATTACACGTTTTCCATTTTTTTTTACTTTCTCTTCGTTATGTAAAAAATTGACAGAGTGGATGCATTAATGGAATAGCGATGATATTTCAGGATTAAGTTTTTAAAGATGTCATACACGTTCGCGCAAATCTATATTTTATATATAGATTTATATTTTATACTACCGAAGCAAAAGGATCTCATTTTTGTTAACTTTGAAAATTATTTTAAATTAAATCAATTATTTCTTTCATTTTTATTTAGCATTTTTAAAAATCAATATTTGTTTTGCTCGCAGTTATAATTAATTAAGATTAAATACGTTTTAAAAATTTCATAATCATGATTTAAAATTTTGTTCCGATTTATACATGTATAACTATATTTAAAAACGCATTTATCTAATTGTGTCATCTATGTCTAAATAGAATTTTTCAAAAAAAAAATTTATTTTATATTAAATGTTATATTAAATTTTAAAGTAATATGAATTTTTATATAAAAAATTTTCACACATTTTGATATATTTTTAATCTTACGAAAATGTGTGAATGTACGAGAGAAAATAGAATTTTGTCACAAGTTTCGTCGCAAATAAATAATGCAGCCTAAAATGAACTTTGAAAATCGCTTTATTTATAGGGAGGAGAAGAGCGATCTGCTCTCGGAGGGCAGGCAAGATAACTCACTCACCTTTGGTCGGGTGTGGAGGGGTAACAGCACCCTCGGCGAGCTCATCGTCGCATCGCCGGCCCGGCGGCGGCGACGACCGGGCCACCCCCGATTATCGCACCTGTCAAGCTCGTATCTGCTGCCACGCGCGACACCTGCCGCTCGTTTCGGGTCTGGAAAACGACGTACCGGGAACGCGTCGCGAGCGACGACCGACGACGATGTGGCGGAAGCGACGATGTGGCCGATCGCTCGTCCACTACCAGCCGGCACCGCGTTTCCTCATGGTCCATTCTGCAACAGGAGAGTCGAAGTGTCGATGAGTCGATGAACGCGGCGTGAAAATGCTTGGAAAATATCAGGGTTTGTGCTCTGTTATCTAAATAAAATTTGGTATTTGGTATTAGACAATATGGGATCTGAAGAATTTTTATAAGAGTTTCTCAGATTAATATTTACCACAATAAAAAATAGGTGAAATTAATCGAACATATTTTATATCTTATATTGTGGTAGATATTAATATATTTCATGTTTTATTAATTTTTAATATATTTTATTGTGATCAATATTTAATCAAAGAAACTCTTATAACATTCTAAATAAAATTATATAAATGACCATCTAGATGAAGTTTTAGCGTCATCTTATCTTTTTATATATTATAGATAATAAAAATATGTATTATCTATATCTGCATCTTAGATAAAAAAAAGTATTCTCTTTACTAAATTATCTAAAATAATTTTTAGATAATTTTGATTTAGAATCATAGCATATAAAAATACTTGAAGAGAACTTCAAAAAATTATTTGCATTTCTGTACATTCAAATCAGGATTATTAATCATACTCTAAATTAATATCTCGTCAATGTATAATATCGACAATCAAGATTTAAATGCTAGAACTCGCGAATCGGATCTGTCTGCAATAAAAGAAATTTCCAGGATAACACAAGGATATAAAACGGACATGTGCACGAAATTGCAGATTAGCCTGCACGTTATCAAAGCGGGATGCGCAGCTGTGGTCAGGTATTTATCGCCTTTAACTTGTCGGAACGAAAGTGTTCTGATTACAGGGTATGTCGCAAACTTTCCCTGACAACGGTATTCAAAGTACGGGTTGCACCGCCATCCTGCGAAATTTGCATAGTTACGCACGAAGCGAGATGTATTTGTCGTGGGAAACAACGGTGAAGTTTGACAAGACACTTAAAACACCGCAAGTATGCTGGTACAATCCCTTTCTAAAAAAAGGCATGCAAAGTCGATTATCGCAAAATTGTTGCCACTTTTCCGTGATGCTGTTTAGTTGTTTCGATTAACATTGTGTGTTATATTAATAGTATCAAACAACGCGAAGCACGTGCTTGTGTTGTCTGATGCATAACAAAAATTCAGAAATTAAAATTATATATATAATTAAAACTCGGTAAATTAAAATTATGTACGTAACAGACATTCGAGAATTAAAATTAAAATATATAAAATACATAATAAAATATAAAATTAAATTATAACTGTTTAATATAATATACTATAGCATCATTTATACCTGCATTATTTTTTAATAAAAATTATTGAATTGTATTTCTCAAATTTGTATTAGTATTCTACTATTAGTTTACTATATTAACAATAATTTGCTATCATAATTAAATTGATAATTTGATAAATTTGATAATTACATTTGACAAAACTGAAGATGATTTATGAGTCGACACAGTTACTTTTACTTGTAACTTCCTATTGTATTAACAAATCTGCTTATAAATACTAAATTTATGTAGCATATATACTCGTATATGTATATCATTTAGCGCAATCTAACCAAATATAATATTATGCACGCAAAGTAAAGTTATATTATTCTTTGATAATAAAATTTAAAAAATTGCGACGCATGCATGCAAAAATTATTATTGCAATCAATGCATAAAAAATATATCAATTAATTATACAATACATAAAAGTTCGATATTTAAACCTTTTTTACAGAAAATACGAACGAAGAAATAAAATTTTCTACAAGAATTTTTTGTGATTAAATATCTACGTTTTCATTAGACTCGCGCGAAACTCCATAGCCCCTACATCCATTGGGATCGCGATACCTCGCACGAGAATCAGTCGCGCGTGAGCCGCGCACTGTGTCAGACGTGGAGGATGTATTAGTCCGATGGAAAGGATCGACATTTTTGCGTGCAAAGTGCGCGTTTGTTTTGTCTAGTTTTAATAAAATTCACAATTAAATAATTGCAAAGCAAAAGATTTTTATATCTATAATTTTATTTTTCTTAATTACTCGAACCTAAAAAATAATACTGACAAAACTAAGATATAATAAGCTATATTACAATATTTTTGTGTGGCAAAAGCTGAAACGCTTTAATTAAATATATTTTTCTTAATTACTCGAATCTAAAAAATTGTATTAAAAAAATCAAAATATAATAAGCCATATTACAAGCTTTATCATTAAAAAAATTTAATAATTAACGCATTCCTTTATATTTATGTACACCCTCTGAGAAAAAAGGAGGACATTTCTCTCGAAAATAATTTGTCTTGCACGGGAAACTATCCGGGTTAAGCGACGCGACTCTCGAGAGTTTTCCTTACCAGGCGTTTAATTATATCCCGACTACAATTTAAAGATAGCTATACATATATAAATGTAACATTACAAGAGTATTCTGAAAACTTTAAATTCAACGCCGACACATTTTCAGAATGAAGAAAAGCAATTTACGTCGATGAGGGGTAAAAAGAATAGAGAGGAACCTGGGGAAGATTTACGCAAAGGAAAACTTTTTCAAGACGATACGATATCGAGGACGAACGCAAGGATGACCGCGCGAACCTGCTGCGTGACGCGGAAGCTAAAGGCGGAGAAGGAAAGCGGCTTTCGGGGATGGAATCATCATCCCTCTCGGCCTACCACACCCTAGTTGCACGTGGGCGTGAAAAATTTACGATTTCTTTGCTCAAGGTCGCAGAGGTAGAAATTAGAGATCGCAGTAGAGCCGGTGCCACCCTCCCACCCTCAAGATGTCAGGTGACGTCGCCTCGAAAGCGAAGACGTATGAGCGGCTTCGTGAATTTATCACGAACATCGTAATTCCTTTAATATTAAATTATATTTTTATTTTTTTAAGCTCTCAAATTACGGTAATGTCAAAAGCAGGTATCGACTTTTCCATTAGGTTCCAACGCGGGCCTTCTCATTATCAAGATCTGTATCGAAATAATCGTAGTCGACATTACCTAAAGATCTAGTGCCAATTTTAATCCCGAATATAATTAAAAAGCTATATACATATATATACTATATATATAAATATATGTATATAACACGCGGTTAAAAGAGGATTTAAATTTTAGATAGAGAGTAATTTGCAAGGCGGATCTGAATTCATCGCACTTTCACTCTTCGAAGGATATTTATAATGAAAAATATTTTACAAGTACGCGTAGAAAACAACATTTTATTTAATGTATTTCTAAAATGGATATAAAATACTCTAATGGAATTAATTAATTTAACGAGCATTTGCCATTAATTAGAGAATTTGTAATTTAAATTCGCCGTCAATGCGATATTATTTATAGATCTAATAATTAGATCTTTTGGTTGCATCGAACAATCTCAATCTGGCTTTAAAAAAAAATAAAAAAATAAAATATCGTATCTTGATGTTTTATCGGTTGGGTGAGTTTATAACCGAGATTTTCAGAGTGTCCCGAGGGTATGCTCGACATAAAAAGACGAGGGGAAGGAAGAGGGAGATGGTCGAAGGAAAGTAATCATTCCTCGGCAAAGTGGCTAACTATGACGCGTAATATCCGCGCGGCTTTAGACTCCGGCTTTCAGCAAATTTCTGCTCTCAGAGGCGAGCCGAGTCAGCGAAGAAGATCGTCGTGTCTAATTGGATCGAGTGCTTTCTCCCTTAAAGGAACGCAAAAAAGTGAGCTTAATAGCAGCAATAATGACGTGTTACTAATTTTCGCGCTGCTTGTTTCCCGCAGAAATAACAATTTTAAAAGTGTAGTAATATATCGCTTAAAGTTATTACAAGCAGAAAAAAAGCATCGTGTTCTTAATAAATAAAGTGGTGAAACAAGAAATAAGAGGAACGCATTGAAACTAACTATTAATTAAGAAAGAATGCTATGAAAATTATTATTATGAATTATTTCAGTTCTAACACGTGTGTGTTTTTTAGAATTTATGTTTTTCTAAAACTATTCATGTTTTTATAAATCTCAGTGGAGATTTGTCTATTTGCACAATTACGATAAAAATGTAAAATACTTGAAATAGAAAACAAATATAATTACATAAACTATTTTTTCCACTGATTTATAAATTGTTGATTTAAAATAAAATAATTTGTATACAAAATATATTATAATTAAATAAAATATTTTAAAAATACTTTATTTAATTTTATACGCACTAGAGATAAATGTTTCATCAATATTTGTCTAAATTTGATATCACACAGAAATCCTGATTATAATCATTTAAAATAATTATTTCTCTCGTTGCATGAAAACAGTAAAATGTTTCAAAAAATATTATTTTCACATCTATATTATATCCATTAAAAATATAATAATCGTAATAATTTGTATCTATTTATATATTTTTATATATAAGTATATATATTGTATATGTATTTCTATTTATTGCTCTTTCATTCATATTTAAATGGTCCTTTATTCACGTTAAGTATTAAATATTCATGTATATTAAATCATACTGTATTTTAAATTAACATTAAATAAATGATTATTTTTAGTACATAATATTTAAAATAATATTTTTTGAAATAATACGCTAAAAATAATATTTCAAGCAATGTGTCATTCACACACATGTGCAAATTTAAATAATTTCTAAAAATACTTTAAATAACAAATTTTTTATTTTCCCGAAAATATTATATTTAATAATTATTATTTCAATTACATAGTTTCACATTTTTGTCGATTATTCTTACGAAATACAAATCTTCAAATATTTAATTTTAATAATTATTTTTGATAAACAAATTTGTTCCGGGCTAACATCTAAAATAAAATTTAAATTAGTTTCCTTACATATATATATATATATATATATATATATATATATATATATATATATATAATGCAGAATTACGATAGAACGAATATACGATTATACTCGTACGAACTTCTTCGGTTCGCATCTGAAGTCCCATCACATGATAACATCTATGTTTCTTTATACGGCAATCTTTTCCAGCCGGTTGAAACCAG